TGTTGTGTCTGTTTTATCTGTGGTGGTAATTGGTGAATGATCTCTTCCTGTCCTGATCTCAGCCCGTGAGTCTTTGATTATATTTTTCCTCCCCTCTCCAGCTGAGGAGGAGATTGATAGAGTGGCTTTGGTGGGCACTTGGCGTCTAGCCAGGGTCAGCCCATCACAAAATGCTACTAATCTGTGGTGCTTACTGTGTCTGAACAGTATTGAAACAAGTATTTAATAGAGATTTTTAAGGTGTCTGTCTCCAGGTAGCACATCACTCAAGCCTTAAGTACAACCAGAAGTCATCTAGATTTTGTAAAGAAAAAAAAACCAAAACTTACCACCAGTAGTATGCAAGGCATTTGTGTTGTGACACTTGGGAATCAGCCATAGCACTAGCTGTTAAGGATTTGACAGTGGAACAGGTCATTGGCATGGTCCCCTGTAGCAATCCTTTGGTATTTTTGGAAACTGGTGTTGCAGGAGGTGTTGCACTTCTCAAAAAGGACTGATATTTTAACAGAGAGTTGTTGTAGGTCCATTTGGCTTTGGCTCAAATGATGGATAAACAAGATTCTGAGCAACCAGAATCTTGTAAGTCTTGCCCATATTAAACCTTGTCAAGCAGAAATATTTATTTCAGGACTAAAAAGTGTTCTGCTTCCTACTAATTGTCACACACTGTGGATTTCTTTATTTTTCCCCTTTCAGATCTGTATTCTCACCTTACTTCGGCAGTGATCTTCTCAGCCTCTTACTGTTTTAGTTAGCTCTTGCTTCAAGGCTTCTCGTATGGTGATCTGTAGGAGAGGCATCCATAACTTCATGCTTCACATAGAAGTTTTAACTCCACTGAGGTTGGTAGTCCAAAAATTCCCCAGGTTATGCAAAAAAATGTGTTTTCTTCAGACTATCACTGGTAACATCAAAGTGCAGGATCAGCTCTAAACCATGTATCATCCCAAATTCAGAGACACAGAAATCATCCAGTAGGATGGGTATGCAGTTATTTTACTTGAGGTTTCTGCTAAGTGGAACACCTGTTTTCATGCCCAGTTGATAACCCATCTGCTCAGGGTGGGATAGCAACAGCTCAGGACCTGCACACTCTGGCAAAATCGTACCTACTTGGTCTGTGGCTGACAGTTCTATTAAGCATAAAACTCAGGGTTGAACTAATAATGCAGGTAAGTAGATATTGTCCCAAAATCAGAACATAAATTTTTCAAGAAATCTTTGTTAGGAAAATGAATAATGTTCATACTTTTAAGTCATGATAGATGAGGATTCATTTGAAAATACAATTTAGATCACGATTTATGTTGAGATAATAAAAATCGTTGTCAGGAAATATATTTATGGTGGTATTTCAGGCCATTATGGTTGTATCATCAAAGTGATTTAGCTTAGTAATTATCTTTTTTCTTGTTAAAACCAGGACTTTTTAAAATACCAAAATAAGGTGTATATACCTAATATACCTAAACAAACATGAAGTGATTCTGCATCGTTTTCACTGCCATAGTTTGAGCACATTGGAAGCTTAGAATTTGTATTAAAACAGTTTGAATTAAAATTTTTTTGACAGTTTCTAACTGAAGTATCATTTGTGTAGCATTAGTTTATCCTTTCATTTTGTAGTCCTTAATTCTCTCTCCTGTTAAAGCATGGGTATGTGTAACTGCAGTAGTTGAGAAGACGCTGGTGCTAGAAGTTACTGCCTTACCCCTGGACTGTAAATAAATGGTATTTAGGTAGTTCAGAGAAGAATCAGATGGGTCGGAGTTTTGTTTCCACAGTTGTCTATATTGACAAGTAAAATTAAGTCTGGTAAAGATACTTTTCAATAGACTTACCCAAGAATTGATGCGTTGTTGCCAAAGCAGCATTGAAATCAAAATTAATTTAGTGCTTTGATTGCATTTTTTTCTTTGGAAAATGAGGCACTAATACAGTGTAAGAACAGTCTGTGACATAATACCCAAACTACTCAGCAAACTTTAGTAATTCATGAAAGTATAAATAAGTTATCTGTAATAATATTTAGATACATAGCCTAATTTTGCTAATGTCTGCACTATACCAGAATTTCTTATTTTAGTCAATTTTTTTATATGCTGATTACTGAGCAGCTTCTTAATAGTGTATAAATGGCAAAATCACATTTTGCTTTTGTGCATCTCCAGAATATTAATGCACTAATAGCTCAGTTCTTGTAGAAAAAAGTCACTAAATGCATCTTCTCTTTCTCAGTTGATCACAACAGGGGTCTGGAGCATAAAGCATTGGGAGAATCTCCTGGGGTAGTTGAGTGAGACCTGATGTTGTTGGGAGGATTGGTTGTCAGCAGGAGGCCTGAAGATGGTTGAGGAGAGGGGAGAGAAATGAGTGACAACAGGACATGAAGGGTACCACTGAAGGGATGTGTCCCAAGTTCTTTTCCAGCTCCTCGTTTCCAACTGTTTTCTGAAATAGTTGTCCTTTCAGTGATTCAGACAGCTTTTTCTCATATGAAGTGTCAAGTTCTTTGAAAGCAACAGATCTACTACTTTTTTTTTTTTAACTGCACTTCAGAGATTCCTTTTTTTCCCCCCGCTCTTACAAGTCTCTTGTTTCTAAATCTTATTTAATGGCTGGGATTAATTCTTAGTCTTCAAAATTTAGTGATAGGATTTTCCTAGTCCTTAGTTCTTTTCTAGCTAGAAAACTGGTGTCAAAGAATGTGTATTAGATACAGTTCTATAAATCATAATAAAGCGACCAGTGAAGGAGAGGAACACAAACTTTAGCAGATAACCTCCAGGAGAGCTGAGCTTTGTCCAGGGTCTTTCATTGGCACTTTCTGCAGCGTGACTGTATTCTTGTTGGTAGAATGTGCTTAACTTTGTCAAGAGCTTTCTGATTAAGAAAACAAAAGTCATTTGCCATGTGTTCTATTTTTTTTACAGCTAAATCCCATTCCTACCAGCTCAGAAACCAAGAAGTTGCAGTGACTTAGCTAAATCTTTCCATCATAGCAGCTTTCCAGGAACTATATGGTGCAGATTAACCTGCTGTGCTTATTAAGTTTGCTGAAACCTTTTAACTTTTCCTCAGCTTTCACTTTGAAATCACAGGAGTGACGGAAGTATTAAACTTCTGTGATTTTCCTGGTGAGAGGGAGGTTTCCTGTCAGTTATAAGAAGGTGCAAAGTAGCTACTGTCAAAATTAATTCATTCAAAATCACAGGTAGGTAAGTTACAGAAGGAACATAGAGCTGAATTGTCTGGCTTAGATATGAAGAAATATGACTATCGGGTACCGCAGCTCTTGCTAAATAAGCATCTTACTAACATGAGTCTTACTTCTTTAAAAAAAGATAAAGCAGGCAATTTTAATAGCAAATTTCATCTAGACATTTGACATCTTGCTTAAAATGCTGCGTTAGGTTGACTGAACAGGGAACACATTAGTTAAATTAAAAATTCTTTCACTGAGAGAGCGCAAAAGTATGTTACCCTTAAAATGTATCAACAAGTGAGGTTGTATGTGGTTTCCTAAGGAATAGTTGTCTAAAGATAAGTGGTGGTACTTTAATAGTCTAGATGATGATACAGAGTTTTTGCAGGTAAAGTTTAAAATCCTGGAGACTGACCACCAGAGTGCTGGAATCATCCAAATGTGTGAGGATGCTGCTGAGTTCCAGGGGAGATGTAGGAGCAGAGAATTGTGTTTATACTTACCCATTGGGAGGTTATAATGAAATATAATTTCTACATAGAAAAGTTTTAAATTCTCTCTTTATATATGTGTGTGTGTGTATATGTTTGTATGTGTATATATATCTATAAAAATATATATAAAGCTCAGTACAAAACTGGATTGGCTTTATGTAGAAACTTATGCACAGAGAAGAATGTTAGTAATTCTTTAATTCTGCATCCAAAGCTGTAAGAACATTGGAAACTGGAACCTCAGAACAATTCTGTCTTGAATGTATGCAGCATCGGCCATTAAATATCCAAAACTTGCTGTGAGATGCTGGAATCACTGTGACATGGAGATTTAAAATGACACTTGAAGCCTTCAGAAGATCTGTTTTAACCTAGTTTCTGTGAAATCTGTGGCCTGTATTCACAGGCAGTGAGATGACAAGTATCTCCATCCTGAATATTCTGTGATGCTGAATAGTCATTGTAACTTAAGGTCTAACTCAGAGCGTCAAATTCAATCTCGGTAAATCTGATAACTTCTCATTACCAAGGCCACAGGACTGCTCTCTGGAATTATCTTGGCATTATCTGGGCTTCTCGCTGCAATAGGGAGCAAGGACATGAGCTCTCCAAAGCCCTGAGGTGTGCTATGGTATTGGAGACCTCAGTACTACATAGGGGGTTTTTTGATAGTTACAGCATTGTGAAATGCTGCTCTCATGATAGGGGAAGCACATATCAGATGTACTTGTCTGGGTAGGCATGTGTTGCATGGTTTCCTGTCACTAGGAGGACTTGGAAGTGGTGACCTGAGTCATCTTATCGGGATTGTGTGACGGTTAGTGTCTGTCAAAAGCTAGCCACTTGTTTTTGTTAAAACAGTGTGAGGATATGCAATTTAGAGATCAAAACCTACCACTTCTTTCCTGTTTCTGACCTGTTTAACCCATGGAAAACCATGACTCCAGGTGCTTGTGTGTGAAGTTAAGATCTGCTGAGTGGAATGTTTCTTATTCAGTTGGTGGGTGTTTGGCCACAGACTTTGGTTCATCTGTATGGATTGAATTAAAGAGCTGTTGCTTTTGCTTAACAAGTGATGGTCTGAGTTTTCCAGTTGGTACAGTTGCTTAATGCACCTGCTCAAACACCTTCAGCTGGGTCTCCTCTCTTTCCATTCTTTGGACACCAATAAGAGAAATGAAGTATGTTTCTGAGAAGAGAAATATGGAAAAATTTCATTTGGTTTGGTGCAAAATGAAGGGTCTTTTTAAGAGGAACTTTGAATATTAAAAATATGTTTTGGCATTTTGTCTCTGCAGAGTTTACAGATGCTTCCTCAACAACGGAAAGCCATAGCAAAATTTAAGGAGCCAGCACATGCTTTAGCATTTCAACAGAAATTCCACAGGTAAATAAATAAGTGCTGCTGCCGCCTCGGTTCTTTACCTCCCTTCAAAAGATTAAATCAGTCTCCTCTGCTCAATGTTTCTCTTATTCCAATCAAGCATCTGTTTATTAGTGACCTTCATAGAACCTCCTTGTCTGTTCTCTACCCCTAGAATCAGTTTGAGTACCAGGTTTAAATTTCTTTTAACTTTTAACAGGCATATGATAGATCTGTCCCACATAAACGTGGCACTGATAGTTGAGTGATGTCTGCTGAGAGAAACCCTGACACTAACAGAAGCATACTGTGGAGCTACATGAGGCACAGTGGCAAAAACATCGGGTTGCAAAACTTTTCGGCTTGGTCTTTAATTGCTATGTTGAACTACAGAGAGCAGCAAGATGTCCTCCAGAAGAGCTGAACTTGAGAGGATCTGCAAAGGTGGAATTTCTGTTTGGTTTATTCATGTTCTGTTGTAACCACGTGGAACTACAGATTTTTTTTTATTTTTTTTTTTCAAAATGCTTTCAATGCATGTAGACACTGTTCTTCAAGATCCTACTGTGTGACCACAGTGACTTGAGAGAGAACATTTACATCGAAAGATTAAAAAACTTTCTTCATAGCAAAGAATATTTGATAATGGTTGCTCTTATCTTCAGTGCGAGGTATTTGAATGAAAACACACTTTTCTAAACAAAATACATTAGTTGTTGTATATATTGAGAGCACAGAAGGTATGCTTGCATAGATTTAAACGTGGTCTACTTCACCGAATAGCAGTATGCTGAGAAGTTTTGGAGGTGACACTGGAAAATTGTAGTTTTGATCTTTGTAAATAAGTTAAGTCTGTCTTTGCATTTTTCTATTCCAATGCAGATTTCCATCTTCTTCCAACTCCACTTACTCCATAAAAACCTGTGTAGGAATAACATTACTGTGTTTTCCCTTGGTTTTTAAAAACAAGGATCTTTACCCTTCAGTAGCATCGTGGGGTTGTGAACTCCAAGTTGAAACTAGATGGTTTTAAAGGACATTGCCAGATACAAGGAAAAAGAAATATTTGGTGGCTCACTTCACAAATGTTACACAGGAAGAATGGCACATTCCTAATAGTTCTTTTGAGCTAGTGTTTCAACATTGCCTTGTGCTTTATTTTGATTAGTTTTTTTTTCTTTGAGATTTATTTTGTGACTGACACTGAACCATAAGAAACCCATAACCAAAAGGACTTGATGTGTTGTTCCCAGTAAATAGAGGACATTGTGAATCTGTTGGTGAACATGACGGTTCCCAAAAATTACATGCAAACATTAAGGAGCTTATATTTTATTCAAAGTAAAATTCATAATATTTCCTTTTGGTTAGAACCATCTAGATGGTGTTACCAAAGGAACAATTTCTTCACTTACTTCTGAATAAACTTATTAAAATGTCATCTTTACATTGGATTCCAGTTTTTATGAATATTTCCTTAGTTTTTAGACTGTGAAGCTTTTGCCTCATCCTTTACTTTAAGCACTCCACCTACTATTTGATGGGGAACTTGCAGAAACCTTATAGGTTTGTTACTTGAATTGACTGCAAAAGAACAGTATTGGTATGTAAGGAAACAGCTGTGAATGGAGTGCAAAATAGGCATGCAGAGTGTGGAAGGATGAACTGAGCAAGTTTATAGTACCATAGATTTTTAATTTTTTTAATGGTAATGAAGTCACAAAGACCTAATTGGCTTTCTTACAGTTTTAGTCCAGATTTTCAATTAAGTAGAATAAAAATAATGATTGAATAATAAGTACTGTCAAAAGTGTTGTAGGTAAAACTGCTCTTTGTTCATTGAAATAATACAGAATAATGTGGTACTTAGGAAATACTGCACTGGGAAAAAAATTGAAAGAATATTCTAAGCCCATTTACAACTTAGTGACACAGTAACATGAGAATTTTTGCATAGAATTGAGTTTTACACCCAGCTGTATAGTTCCCCATTTATGCATAATATTGAATAACATCCAGTACAGTTACTGTACATAAGGTGCTGTTAGTGCTTCAGGGTAGACCCAAGCCCAGGACAGAATGAGCTGCAGTTAGGAAGTGCATGGTGGGAACAGACCCGGGAGACTCATGTGAGGTGATTGCCCAGTGCTGTTTAACCCCTCACACCATGAGTACTAGGACTCCTATGCTGCCTCCTCAGGTTATGTAATTTTTACTTTTAAGAAATAAATGCTTATCCTCAAAACAAGTCATTAAACAGTTATTCATCCCATTGTTAGGGAGCAGCTTCTCAGTAATGAGAAGGATGGAAAGTCATCTCAGAGTAGAGTGATAATCGTGCGTGTCTGGAAATCTGGGTTAGATGCAAATGCCAGACAGGCCAGCAGCTGAGTTCAGCAGTAGGAACATCTGCAGTTGATCAGCTGTCCTGTCAGAAGCAAACGTTATTGGGGTTAGAGGGTTTCTTGGAGCCTAAGAATATGGGTTTGATTCAAAAGTCAAAGAAGTTTTTAGAAACACTCCTGCTTTGGGTTTTGAATCCATCCCAAAGAGGCTGAGGTTCAGCCAACTTAAGTTTGAAGAATTTTTATTCAGTTGGGTTTTTTAAAAAAATATATTTTTGAGACAAATGTGTGGCTTTGGAATAAAGACATGAAATTGCCTCGGTTCTATTTAAATATAGGAGGCAACATAAGCAATGCCTGTTTAATGACTAGATGCATCCTCTTTAAAGGCAGTTGCAGTAGATTATTGCTTGTGCATAGGCAGGGTATGGGCAGATTGCTGGTGGTGATTTTAGCTGCTTATTGCAGTACCTGAGTATCTTACTACATGTAAATGTACATATGTATGTATGTCTATATGCATTTTATTATACACATACATACATACTCACACCCTGTGTTGTCACCATATCTAATATCTTAAAAAACTCAGTAGCAAAAGTAGCAATTAGGCGAGTCATTTGTTAAAATGTTCGTGTTTTGTTAGTTCTCAAATCCTAACCTAAAAGTGGGTCTCTTGGCAATGATCAGTTTGGATGGTAACAGCTCTTTTGGATCCATTTGTTGTCTCCTCCTAAAAAAAACCCAAAGGAAGTAGAGGTAAAGCTAGACAGATGTGTTCTTGCCATGTTCTCTTTCAGCACATAGTTAATCTGAGTATCTTAAGTTAACTTTCTTGGAAGATCTGTTGCAACCATTATCTTGTTCTTTCTTTATCATGCATTCAAAATATGATGCAAAATGGAAAAAAAAAAGACAAAAGCAGTCATTTAATGTAGTATGTAAATATTGACCTTTTAAAATTAAAATGTTACTCAAAGTGCTTACAGTCACCACATCTTAGCTACTTGTTAGTTTTGTGTTGTCTTATCTAAGTTTAATGGATACAGTTCCATAAATGTTGATGTGTTTTTGTGTATATCTTCAAATTTTTATAAAGATGCTAGTAAGTCAATACATATATCCTGACCTGTGTATTATTTGTTCACAGTTTTTATTAGTATAATTCTAGAATTATTTTAATAGGCAACTCCTATAGGTGATTATATGGAGCCAACTTTTTTTTTCAAATTATTTTGTTTTCATCTTGTAGCACTGGAGAATTCACTTTATAACTAACCATTTTGCCTTGACTGAAAGATTGGATTGGCCGTATGATCTGTGGTATTTTAGTAGAATGTTCTACTTTTTTAAATTAAAAAAAAATAAATCTCTGTCCTTTAACTTATGAGGGGAGATACAGTGGACTGTCAGACCAAGACATGGGGTTTCTAGGTTTGTTCCATTGTGCTGTACAGGTGCAAATTTGGTCTGTCATGTAACATTGTTCTCAAAAGTTTGGGATATTTTGGTTTTACACGTAATTCAAGATGTCATGTAACACGTTGGTTCATCACAATGTTAGCAACTGATGTGGCACACGTACTGTATGATGGATAGATCGGTGTGCAGTGTTCAAAAAGCTCGGTGTAATTCATGCTAGGCAGGAGGAGGGCAGGTCCATAGAATCTTCACAGTTGGAGAAGCTGCCATGCGAATGTTTTTCTCTAAGTAGTGGTAGAGAATAAATTTAGTCAGGGATACTGTTCTTCACCCACATACATCTCTAATATGACTTCAAGAAAGAACAGTAAATACTGGCACCACCTCTGTAAAGTATCTTCAGATACCTAGTTTATTCCCCAGTTTAAATCTGAAGATTTATTTCAAATTTGCAAATTTCTGCAAAGAAGCCCTTCTAGCCATTAAAATGCCAAGCAGACTGAGCGTTCCAGGAACGTTCTTCGATGTTAGGTTTCCACTTCAGGGATATAGATAAGAGATTTTTTTTATAAAACTGTTGGATATTTCAGAACAGCCTTGAGGGCCTTCATTGTTTTTTTTTTCTTAACATTATCTAGCTATTTGGAATAAGAAAAAACCTTATGCTTGGTGCTGAATTTTTTCATATTTTTTTAAAAGTGTCTTTTGTCTGTTTAGCTTGAAATTGTGCAGTTGTCCCAGAAGCTGCAGTAGGCGCTTCCTATTGTTGCACACAGTAACTGCGTGTCTGTATGTGTGTGTGGGTGCGTTGCCCTTATAGCTGGAGTGAGAGGGTGTGTGGGAGGGTGTGGGGGTTTCACTTCATGGGGATTTTTTGCCTGTTTTTTGTCTAAGTTGGGAGATATCCTGGATTTGTTCTCTGGCATAGCATTGTGGTGTTCTTGTCCTCTGCGTAGTACTGTGTTTATGTGGGTCATGATACTCAAAGGTGGAAAATTGGGTTCACCTGTTCACTGTCAAAAAGGCATTTTTGTTCAGAGAGACATGAACCTTTTTAAATTTTTTTTTTTTGCGCATTTGTTTTTTTAGCAGCATGTTGGATGAGAAATTAAATGTGAAGGATACAAATACTGAACAGATTGCAGAAAGTTAGCTATGTTATAAAGGTCATTTAGGGTAACATAGGGCTTTTGTTTCAGTGTTACCTTAAATCGTACCTTAACCTCTAATTAATTTCTAAACATACTTGAAAGTATTTTATCTTCAATTAGTATCAAATCCTAAGGATTTTATGTAAGGTTTTTTTGTAACCTGATTTTTAATCATGGAAATGACTTATCCACATGAGCACAGGGTCTTGTGTACAAAAACACTGATTCATATTGGATCCTTACGTATACCAACTTGTGGTATAATATGGTTGGGAAGGATCATTTTGTTCTTTATAATACTGCTTTTTGCAGGGTTGGGGTTTTTATTAAAAAACCACCTCTGTTTTCTACTTCTGTGCTTATTTTGGTGGAAAGTGTGGTCCTTGTTGCACTAAAGAAAACCTCAAGGGGGAAGTTAACTTCACTGGGTCTTGTAGGTGCCTGTGTTGCTTTCTCACTTCTTGGATGCACTGATTTTTCTAACTAACTGGAAATGGGCTTGATATATACACTGTTTTTCAACAGGTGACAATGCTTTTATTTAACATAACTGCACTTGGGTTAAGCAATTTTTACCATTTAAAGAATTCTAAACAGTATTACAAATTAAGAATATTTTTGTAAAAGAACCTGTGTATAGTTGAATGTGGCTGTATTGCAATGTTGTGTGTAGTCACTTGAAAGATCACAATTTAAAACACTTCTGTATTAATGTTATGTTTGTTCAGTGGTTCAGGATTTTCTTTGTGAGCATCTCATGGTTTTTAATATGCATTGTATTTTTTTCCTAGTCAGGCTGACTTTGGAACCCTACAGTTTTATTTCTATTTATATAATAACAAAACCATTGTTTTGCAGGATTTCTTTTTCAGATGGTGAAGCATCTTTCAACAGTTTAACTTCTAATTAATGCACATTTTCACTTACAGATACAGCAGAGACAAGATGCTAACGCTCATTTATTCACAGCTGATCTTTTGTACCATTTGCATTCAATTTTTACTGAGACAAAGTGCCCTTAAAATAAGTCAGCTTTCTTTTTTCCTTTTGTACCCTTTGCCTCTACCCTGTGCTTTACCTCATTTCCATCTCATTTGCCCCCCGTTTTCCATCCCCACAAGGATATTTGTAGCCTTGTTATGTTCCTAGTCTCTTCACTCCCTGATCATCTCTCCAGACCTTTTCCTATCTAAGTGCATTGCACTCAATCTTTTGCTCTATTGTCTCTTCTTGTAGCTCTTCTGAGGATACCTGAAGCCCAGATCTCACACTCTGAAAGCACATTGTACTGTACTTCTCTTTGCAGATTTTCATACATAAAGTTGAGGTTGCTTTTACAGGTGTCACCACAGAAGATACTGGCCATTCCAAAGCACTGGAGAATCATCACTTAAGGGTTTTGTTTTGCAGTTCTGCCTGTGTTGGAGAATTTTGTTTACATTTCGTTTACATGCTCTCTAGCATTTGTGGCAAGCCAGACAAAACACGATTAACAACTCTTTTATCCTTTTCACTTTTTCAGGAGTTCTGTTCTTGAATTCAGTGATAGTAATAGCACTTATTTTTATTGCCATGTAGAAATATGAACACTGTCGACACAATTCTACCTCCTATTACTATTACTGAATGTGATCCTTCCTAACCTGTAAAGTTTTAAACACTGTATATATTTGGGTATTTTGAGAATCACTTCAAATGTATTGCTCTAATCTGGATTACAGAGTTTGCTAGCAGTTCAGGATATAAATTCAACAGCCGACTGTATCATACTGACTCCACTGGGGGTTCGTCTGCCTCATGTTTTCTACAGCGTCATCTGCACAAGGTGTTCACTACTAATTTCTTGAGTGTAATACTGAACTCTATACCAAATCCTTCCCTTGCATAAAAGATCTTTGTCATACCTATTTAAGTGAATGTAAAAAATGGAAGCACAAAGATGATCTCATGTATAAGCTTTTTAACATGTAATTCCGTGTTTAAAATGTCAACATGTAAATATATTGTACCGAAGATGTCAATAAAACTTGATCTTTATCATATTTCCTCTGTTGTTGCTTGATGTACAACTTCAAACTTGTCAGAAAAAGCTTCACATACTATATTATTTTACTATTTTTATTATGGTAGCATTTCTGGGCCCCTACTTTTATATCAGCATCATAGCGTGGGGTTCTTTAAGAGCTGTGAAAGATGCCCCAGGCAGAAAAATGAGTGAGAACAGGTGATGGTAAAAGGGGCTTTTGCTTGTGTAGCTAGTTCAAAGGGTCTGGAGGCTAACAAGGATCTCATAGGTTTAGGAGGAAAGCTTGTGAGTGTAAAAGCTTTTTTTTTTTTTTTTTTTTTTCCAACTGTTGTGACATGTCTGACGAGAGCTCTACTTTCAAAACTTGCCTGTCTTAATATATCATGTAAAGAGGAGCTCTCAGCAAGCTCAGTATGGTCACCATCAGTTGTGTTCTGAACACAGTTATATAAACATAAATGGAAGACAATTCCACTGGTGTATTGTGTATCAAGAAAAGCAGTCAGAATCAGCTGCCTTTCACTTTGCAGGTTTTTTTAAATAGTTTGTTAAAATTATTCTCAAAGTTAAATGTAAAAAAAATCTCACTATCACCCTGGTTATCACTGGAAGGGGCTACTTGTGATCCAGCATGTACATTTTCAATGAAACATTACTAGTATGTCACATTATTACTGGAGGTAGATCTCAAGAGAACATTGTTACCTGAGGATAGGTGGGTGGTACTCCAAGTTGTTTGTTTCTGCTTGTACCCTGATAGAGGCTTGTTAGTGGCCAGCAACACAGTGACCTTAAGCTCACTGGGTAAAAAAAAAACCCGCATCTGATGCAGTGATTTTTATGGTGAGCAGTGTAGGAATAATCATTCTGACTTGGTTTTCAACTTGCAATTTTGCTCTGAATTAACAGTAGGAGCACACTGTAAATACCCATTTGACTGCAGCATCACCTTTTCCACATCTCTACAGAAAGCTCCAAGCAAAAGTAAACGTCACCAAAACTCTAAACCCCAAACCTGATGAGTTTTATCTCCTTGCTGTTTTGTACCTTCTTTCCCTGCTTCTGTAGATCTGCAGCCTTGGGGCATGAATTAGTGTTTTAGTGAAGTTGATGCACCAATGAGCATCAAATCATCAGTCCACTCTTTCAATAAACAGGTTAACCATTGCACAGTACAGAGGAAAAATAAGTTCTCTCTTTGAGTGCACAGGTTAGGGATCAAGCATATAAGTCATGTGGTCTTTAGAAGTTAAAATGTCCTGCTAATGAACTTGTAATTTTGTAAGATTTCAGGATCCATGCAGGGGTGTATTTTAAGAATTCAAAGACTGACAACTGCAAAGTGATGGAGGAAATTAATGGGCTAAAAACTAGTTACTGAAAGATGGAAAGGGAGTGACCCAGGGAGGTACAGATAAACCTTAAAAATAAAATTTTGAGGTGCCTAGTGGAGTGCTTCAAAAATTGGTCTTGCTTGACCTTAATTTGAATGATTTGGGCAGGAAGAGTTGGGAGTATGATCACCAGTTATGTTGGGAGATGCATGAGGGAGAGCTCATATGAGGAGAGGGATTTGAGTGTCTTAGAGGAATTGGATGAGCTAGAGAATTAGAATAATAGAGGTGAGATTAAATTTAATCTTGCAAAGTGCAAGAGCATGCACTCTGGTATTAATAAATAAGGATTTTTGCTGTAAGAGTCACTGGGAAAAGAGAAAGCTGTGAATTAGTTGCAGATAGCTGATCTACAGATATGGTGAACTATGAGAAAAAAGACTGCCTTTTTAGGATGGATGGGTCAGGCACTTGCAGAATTAAGCGATTAGTATGTGTAGTATGAAGATTTAGTGCTGGACTTCAAAGTAGCAACCCAGTCAACCACCTCCCTACTGCCCTGAGTAGAACCTGCCCTGTGCATGTTTATTTTAGGGAGCTTTTTTCAATGGTGCAGCTATCAAGGTTTTTCTCTCCTCTTACTCTGCACATTTGGCCTTTTAAAGACAAAGAGTTAAGTTGCAGAAAGATCCTTAGATGGGCTCAAAGAGAATTTACTAGTTACACAATGCCACTACTCCTTGCTTTCAAATGTCAGTCCTGGTAACTGCTGAATATACATTAAATATTTTCACTCATCTGTGCTATTTTGAAAAGATCCCAGAGGAAGATGCACCTTCAACTGATGAAAAATTAAACATGCTGACTTTGGAAAATCATTCTGTAGAGGTGTGGGCAGCATTGAGGATGCTTTGGAGAGGACTTGGGAGTTGAGAATTTCCATTTCTTCTGTTTCTAGTCCCATATTCTACTAATTGTTAGCAAACTAACAACTGCTTTTCATTAAATTGCTGATGAGAGGATTCTACTTCTGTAAGAAGAATTTTAAGGCAATGGGTGAGAGGATTGACTAAGTAGCCCCAAGGAGCCTTTTCCAATTCTATTTTCTTGGGTCATGAACAAATTAGGCTATGTCTTCTGAAACTTGGATATTTCTGTACAGCATCACACGATCTTTCCTTGCAGCAAAGCTAGTAAGAACAGAGAGGGAGGGTTTTTGGAGACTTTTTGCCTTCATTCATGTATGCAGTGAATCAGGTCCATGACACAGTGCTCTCTGCCTGCCACACCCTTGGTTAACATGGATCCCGCTTGAGGGCTGGGGAAATAGCCAAATGCTTCAACAAAAAAGGTAAGGGGTAGTTGGTCCATTTGTTTTGATAGCAGTGAAAAGGTATTCAGGGGTTTGGGATGCCTGGCTGCTTTTACAGCCCTTATTGCAGAGGAGACTGGGGTCTTAAAGTTGTTTTTTCCAAGATGCATCACAGGGAGTTTGGGTGCTTTCTCAAGTATGAAGTGTCTGGTTAATGCTGCACAGAGTCCTGGGTCAGGTACTCATGAGCATATGGTGCTTTCTGGGTAATATTTATGTTAGTAGTGGGAGCTGGCATCGAATATTTTGCATGCAGGCAAAATCTAGTTCACTAACATGGTCTAATTTAAAAAAAATAAAATCTTTCTGAAATCTAACACTAAGAAAAGTCGATAGCAAATCCAATTACAGATAACACTGAACACTCATCTGAATCCTTACTACTTTGTGCTTAGATAGGTCTTTAATAAAACAGAGGAGATGCTGTGAATTTGCTCTGGGATGGATTTAAGATTTCTCTACAGATATTCAGCTGCACTGATATCTGTCTATTCTTTGTCACCACCTATAATTTGCTTTATTATTATTATTATTATTGCTATTATTAAGTTTATTATTGAAACTGGGGCTTCTGCAAACAATAGCTGGATGCAAAATCTGGGTCCCAGGGAGATAACTGGGATGTGGTTGATGGAGCCCAGGGTACTGTTTGAGAACCCCTGCATACATGCTTTTCTATTTCTAGCCTGTATTTTTGTGTGAAAAAAAAACAGTCCTGGAAACCAAACCCCATTTAACTGAATGAGGAGATAATTTCTTTGCATATTCTCTATCTTAAAGACTGCTATAAACTGGACTCTGCAAAGTGATACCAGTTTCACTACTGTAAACCTTTCAGACTGTGCTATCTTATTGGAAAGCGCTTGTTTTCATTCAGTAAGGTCAGGAAAATTCATGGATCGCATCAAAACAGGGAAGATGCGGTTGTTCCCCCTGTGTTACTGTTAATCAGCCATATCCAGAGAGAGGATGTATGTCACCTTTAATGGGGGTGAGGAGAGGAGGAATATAATCATCCCTCATCAGTGAGACCCTCAATCACTGTGCTTCAAACAGCTGGGGGTACGTAACCTCATCTTCATTTGAAAATTTTAGTACCTTTTCTCTTAGCTGCCTCCATTTTATGCCTTTTTCCCCCCCTCATAAATTTTTATGATTTTTTTTTTTTAAAGGAGAATTTATGGGTGAAATGGCAGAGACCGTGTGAAATGTGGAAGAGCTAAAAGGCTATCACGGTGGTAAATGAGGCTAAATGGTTCTCTACCACCAGCTGTTTAGAGTTCAGTGATTGAGTCTAACTGACAAGAAATAATTACCCCCTCTCAGAGAGGTGAAATGGGTCCTCACACTGTGAATGCTGCTGATGAAGGGGCTGTCCCAGGAGAAGGCAGGATCCTTTCCGACAGTTTCTATGCCTACATCTTGGTTGTTTAAATGCCTCACGAGCATCTTGCACTAAGGTTTTTCTTGCACAGGGTGATGTCCTTTAGTGACTCAGCGTCTCTCTCCTGTTTTTCTGGTCCCAGGGAGGTTCAAAACCTTGACACGACATCATCTTTCAGGGATAAACCCAGAGCCAAAATATTCCCTGCATTATTGATTAAAACTGGCAAGTGTCTCTAAATGCTTTTATTTCAAAACAAGAGCCCTTGTGTTTCTTATTGCAAAGATGTGCATTAGGATCTAAAAGCATCTTTTTTTTTTTTTTTCCTTCTTCTCTAATCAATTCCAAGGAACAAATTTAATGAGTGCATTTGTTTGCAGGCTAGAGAGGGTGTTCAGGGAAAGAATGGCCCTGCAGTGCTCCAGTGTGAAGCCTGAATTCTCACAGATCATGCTGAAGCCAAATCCTCTTTTTTTTTTTTCAAGCCCTTAATATTTTGAGCATGAAAAAACCCATGAAGTGAGATGAAAAAATAAGCATGCTGGTGATGGCTTGAATGCCACTGTCTCTCTGGCTTTATTAGTTATGTTACTGCATTGATGAGGATGCAAACACTGGATAAATTTGAAACATACGACTAAATTAATTGTTATTGTGCAAGAGTCCATTCAAGGTGGTGCTGCATACTGCCCAAGCAAAGCCAGGTACTATCTCAGGTCAGCTCAGGGGGGTGGGAGGATGTTCTGGCCGCAGCCTGACAATGCTCTGTCACCATCACTCACCCAGTTTCTTTCGATGATGACCATGGTCACCAGATGGCTACCGTGAGCCACCATGGTGCAAATAGGGCCTGGTGGAGCCTTAGCAGTGAAAGAACATCTCTGTGAGGCTCTGCACTGGTCTCTCTGTCATTAGTCCTCTTTTAA